CTCCGGAGAAGTATGTCTCCGACCGCGGCTCGCAGTTCATCGCGGACTTCACCCGAGAACTTTGGCGTCTAATCAGCATCAAGCCCGCCACGTCCACCGCGTACCACCCGCAGACAGATGGTCAGACAGAGCGCGTCAACCAGGAGCTGGAGCAGTACTTGCGGATCTTCACCAACTACCAGCAGAACGACTGGGATGAGCTGATTCCGGCCGCGGAGTTCGCCTACAACAACCATGTTCACTCCTCCACGCAGCAGGTCCCCTTCATGACGGACACGGGACGGCTCCCGCATGGGCTTCGAACCCGGAGTCCGTTCCGCCATGGAGTCAGTGAACGAGTTCCGCGACCGGATCGCCACTGGCGTTGCTGAAGCCAAGGCCGCTCACTAAGGCCAAAGAGGAGTACAAGCGCTACTACGACCGGAGACGGACTCCGTCTCCGGAGTTTAAGGTTGGCGACCGTGTTTGGCTGGATGCCTCTGACATCAGGACGACTCGCCCCTCGGAAAAGTTCTCCCATCGCCGCCTCGGACCGTTCAAGATAGTCGCGGAGATCAGCAAAGGTGCCTACAAGCTCGACCTCCCTCCGCGCTACTCGAAGCTCCACCCGGTCTTCCCCGTCGTCAAGCTCGAGCTCGCCCAGGACGACCCCTTCGACGGACGCCCCGGCTACGACCAGCCCCCTCCGGACCTCGAGGACGGAGTCCTGGAGTGGGAAGTAGAGGAAATCCTGGACGCAAGGGTGAGGTATAAACGGCTGAACTACTTCGTCAGATGGAAAGGCTACGACGCATCGCACAACCAATGGGTCCGCTTCGACCGCGTCTTCGCCCTGGAGAAAATTGCGGAGTTCTATTGTAAGTACCCTGGCAAGCCACGACACATCGCCTCCGCGACCTTCGACTCAATTCCGTTCCGGTCTATGCGTCGGGACGCCGCATTCAAAGGGGGGGGTGATGTCAGGGGAACCTCCCTTTCGGCCCGGAGACGCACCCGATTCCGGTCCAACTCCGGTTCGGACTCCGGTCCGGCCCTCCATCTCGCCCGCACAATCACCGATCCGTCAACGCCCTCCCGACGGTCGCCCTGGGACCTCGCCTGCGACGCCGCCCAAGCCTTCTGTGCCCGACAGCAGCAGCTACGGACAAGCAGTATATAGTCAGCTACCTAGCAGGCGGACCCTTAGAGTTTCTTCTCTTTGGATCCTCCCCTGCTAGGTCAGCTTCATTTGTATTCGCTTACCAATGTTCACACTTTGGATCCTCCCCTGCTAGACCTTGATCTCAGGCCTCTGGGGTTGCCCTTACAATACAGGATGTCATTGGTGAGCACGTGGAATGCAGCATCGGCCGTCCTTGCCCAGTGTTTTGTCTCCTGTTCGCTTTTTTCGCTTGGTCCCGCATGAGCACGGGCCCATGCGCGGAATACGAGCTCGATGGTTCCAGGCACAGCCATCAGGTCGGAAGTTCGGAGGGTGCTTCCCTCCACAGGGGTGACGGTGAGAGACAGGAGAAGGGAGACGAGCAGTCTGTCAACGCCATTGGCAGAAGCCTCCGCGTTGTCCCTGGAGCCCGGAAATGCAGCGGGGTGTGCATAGAAGAATACCAGCCATTCGGTAATGCGCGTCCACACCTCTTTCGCGGCGTCGCCCACTCCTGCGGAGACCCACACCAGCACACGGAGCGTCTCGCATACGAGGACCATATATAGTGTCGCGGTCAGAGTCGACGGTCATGCGGGACGGGTCGAGGACGACCATAAACAGCGCTGGAAGAACGCGCACGTTGGTCTCTATATCCTCGCTTGCCCGGAGAAAGGATCGGAGACAAATCGGCCGGCTTAGCGGTCGGCGAGCATAGAGTGTCGACAGCAGCCTAATAAGAGAGTCGGCTCGTTAAAGGATAGAGCTATTTGGTACACCGATCTGTGACAGTACACGGTGTCCTTCTATTTGGTACACTGATGACTTGATTGACTTTCCGTAATGTGATAAGTGTGACAAGTGCGACAAATCACAGAGAAATCTCTTTTTTTCACTTGAAAATAGAAATATGGTGTAAATTTTGAGAGATCTTATAGATATTAGTGACTTGTGTTCCACCCCAGGTAGTTTTGCTGTTAGCGGGGGACCAGACTGAGATGTAGATAAGGAGCGATCAATTTCCGATAATGCCATCAATTTCCATCAACAAGCCATAAACTCTTATTCTAACACAGTTTTTCAGTGTAATAGAGACTATCAGCACTCAGTTCTGTAGAATATTTAAGAGATTGAATGGGTTTAAATATTGAATCAATAGGTTTTACCAGCCACTCACAACTGTCACATAACTACAAAATCCCCACTCTTATATTCTGGATTTAGTAGATCTGAACAATGTTAAAACTTCAAGTGTTTGAAACATGCTTTGGCTACTATCTATAGGTTGAAGGCAAAAATCTCAAGGAAAATTGATCCACCTGTCAAATTTTTAGAACGAAGGTTCCAGGGCAACTAGAAGAACTAGAAAAGAACAAAATGTGTTTATCCTGGCAGCTAATAAGCTCTAATTATCAAAGGAGATCTATGTGTAACACTTGTGACATCAATCACCAACAGTGTACCAAATAGACAATCATCTATTTGGGGCACGGTGTACTGTCACACCTGGTGTACCAAATAGCTTTATCCCTCGTTAAAGGCTGCGACGACTGGCTGGAAGCCCACCTTGATATCCGCCGGTAATCCGTCCAGCCGGGGGCTGCAAAAGAAAGGGCATGGCGGGAGAAGACAAGAACTTGCAGAAGGCAAAAAAAAAACACTGTGGTCGTATGTTGGCCTGAAATTCATGTAGATTTTCCAGGCCAAACACACCTGTAATCTATGTGTAATTTACCTATAATCCAGGTGGTTTGACTGGATTTCATGTACCCCCAATTCAGGGCAATTTTTAATCATTCCAGGTTATCATTCCAGGCTAAATTGGCATGATCTTTGGGCAATATCGGATTGAAAAATGGCTATTTTCAGGGTTTGAGCTCACTTGAATTCACGCAGCTTAAACATGAAATGCAGGGACTATTTGAGTGAATACTACATGCTTCTAAGTACGTCGCCGCTTGGACAAGCGAGCATCCCCGCCGCGCTGTGCACGCTTCCCTTTTTGCCTTCTCTGACATCGTCGGCTCATCCTCCGGATCCGAATTGTCCGCTACCGGCACCTCGTCCTCCCCATCCGCCTCCTGAGCATGTGGGATGAAGTCGTCCTCGTTGTCATCCCCCTCAGGCTCGTTGTCGTCGGTGTTGTCATCGGGAACCCTGCGGGATGAGGACGGGATGGGGGACTGGTGGATGAGTGTGTTTGGGGGGGGCAGCGACTGGTGACGAGCGAGGGGAAGTGTCGGTACGGGCGGCTTTCACGCACTGGGGCCGGATCTCATTCCGTGGTGGCGGTGACAAGATACAAGCTGCAGAACTTGTTCCCCAGTCCGGAGGGAACATGACCCGTGATGCCTCATTTATTAAGGTGCGCTTGTGGGACATGTCCGGGCTTGTTGACTGATTTGCCATTTAGTACTCTCATTCTGTGGATCGCAACGAGCGCTTCTGCCACCAACCTGTGGTGGAAGAGCGTTGAGTTGCATATGGCCAACTTCTTCGGGTTCTTGAGTTTGAAACTCAGTTCCCTGATGATTTTGAAGCCCACCATTGCACTCTTCTGCTCGCTGTTATTCGCCCTGTTCGTATCATCAGCCATAGCAAGCACCTCGGCTTCCCTTTCTACCAGGACAACAAGTTTCTGCCTATCGAGGTAATTGATGTGGATGACATCAGCTGCCTAGTCGCTCACATCCCTGGACATGATTGCGGCCCGCAAAAATGGGCACTTTGTGAGCGTCCAGATGCGATGGGGGTTGCGGAGGATGTTGAATAGCTTGTATTTCTTACTTTTATAAACTTGTTATTTCACTTGAAAATTTTCACTCAAAAATAACATGAATTCCATGTAGCCCAAAACATAATTTCATAGTACCTGAAATGCCTCCATGAAATTTGGCATACCTGAAAATAATTTCAAGTAAAAAATCCCTGGATCCGGATTTCCAGGTGCCAGGACCCTGAAATTCAGGCGATTATCCGACCACAGTGAAAGAAGCCACGCGATGATCGTTATCGATCCTTGACGGCATGGCGTGGGACCTCCGACGGCAAGCACATCCGAGCAGCGTTTTTTGTAAGGTGCGGCTTTATGTAGCTAAGCTGCAGGGAGCGCTAGCTCTTGTTGAAGTAAGCGGGTTGGCGAACCCGAGTCATCGCCGAGAGATGACGTCAGCGGCTGCGCCATCACCGACGCTCGGCGCGTCGGGAATGTTCTCCCACTTTCTATTGACTCAGAATACAGAATATACTAGAATAAAGAGAGTAGTATAAATACTTGGTAGTCCTACTCTAATAAACATCGAATATTTTGTCTAGTTTCTTCAACAGCTCTCTGCTCACGAAGAATGGAGATGCTACATTCCGGAGTGCTGCACCAGCGAGCAAAGCGCCCTAGATCAGAAACGAGTCACGATCGATCGATCGCCGATCATGATGGATTCCTATCACTGCTTCTTTTTTATCAACCACCACGCTGCCCTACACCCACAGCATTCAGCGGGGCCCCGCAGCGTCGCGCCGAACAAGTGCCGGCTTGTAGTAACCCATGGCCTGATATTGTCGTGGGTCTACGACTGGCACACAAGGTGCATGACCGTTTCCGCTATCTTTTGCTGGTGGGCCGTTGTCCGCGAGCTTGCGACCTAAAACCTGTATTCCCCCCATCCCCAGGCCTTCTTCCCGCCCTTTCGTTGCCGTTTTCTGGGCGCAAATCTCGAAAGAATGTCCAGCCGGAGATTTATCAAGTTGCGCCAACTGTCAACGTCAAGCACTTGGAACCCGCCGATTGCTGCTTACTCCAGCCAAGAGCGATATCATTCAAGACACACCGGATACAATCGATCTTGTGATGCTATACAGCTCACTCATTCCGCAACGCCTTCGCGGGCTCACAATTCACGGGCCGGATCCCATACTTGCGGAACGCGTTCACGAGGGCCGTCAGCGGCTGGACAAGCAGAAACATGGGCAGCACCTCGCCCGCCCCATCAGCGCATCGCAAAAGCAGGCGGGACGACCGGCGCACCTGTCCGAACTGCCACGACGCGCTGTCGGCCGGCGCGAAGTGGCTCCAGCGGATGAGCAGCTCGGTGTTCATCACGGCCAGCGCCCAAAGGACGATGACGACGGTCATTTGCACGAGCACATCCCACGCGATTGGGACCTCGTAGTCAATCTGCTCAACAAATGAGTCTACAAAGAAGGATCGTTGCCAACCCACCTCCGGCTCAAATCTGTGTCGCGGCTGCACCGTCTTCGACGGCATTTCGGGCAGCCTGGCATCGCGCGGGAGCCTGTCCTCCGGCGCCATATCCGGCTCTTCCGAAACAGGCAACCGCATCGTGCGCTGTCTCCGCCGGCGCAGATTCGTGAGCGCATGGACGCGCCAGTCGTTGATCAACAAGCCGGTGTAGAGCAGGGCGAAGAGGCCCGCGAGAACGAGGCCGGCGACGCGGCCCGCGCGGAGGCCGGATATCGGGTGGAACAGCGCGATCACGGCGAGGTGGTTGCAGTCGGGCGCGGCGCCGAAGGCGGGCGCCGTGACGAGGACGGCGAAGATGAGCGCGAGGATGGCGTAGGTGGACACGACGGAGAAGTAGCGCAGCGTGCGGCTGGCGGCGGGGAACTTGTTGAAGGACGGGAGGATGAGGAAGACGGCGAGGCCGGAGAGGGTCAGGAGATAGAGCACGATGAGCGCGCTGCGGCGGGTTGTGAGAGATTTGAATGTGGAACGGATGGCGCACTCGTGATAGCTTATCGCGGGGTGTGGCTGGAAGCCGAGGATCAGCGCGGTCACCGCCATGGCTGTGTTGGTAGAGAGCAGTGTGTACAGCGCCCCCGTTATCTCGTCGAGCTGTTCTGAGCGCGCAAAGAGGCAGCCTGGTATTAAGTGAGTCGGGTGAGCGTCTAGTGGGCGAAATGCAAATACTGAGGAAGAGCGTCTGCAGATAGAAGCTCAGTCTGACTCCAGGACCACTGATGTCGGTGTTCATGGAAGGACGGGCTCCCCCCAGCACAAGAAGCCATGGCGGTTTGGGCGAAGTCCGGAGACACGTGTCAGCACTAAGTCCGATCCGGATGTATGTCAGATGACACCCGCGCGTGACACCCCGCGTCCCACAGACACCCCGAGGATTCGGGCTCATGGGCAGTGCCTGTGGCGGCCTATGCCCAGATATGTTTGTCATAATGTGATACTGAGTAAGTATGTACAGCATTCATTGTGCTTGGAAACTAAATTTAATAAGTATTATTGAGCCCTGGCCCCTGAAAGATTTTGTTGATCTTGCAAATGTGTCACGCTGACCTGTAAATGCGCGCCAACGGCGTGCAGAAATAAAATAAATCACTAAGCTGTTGGAAACAATGTTTTCAGCTCATAGCTATGGTAGATACTCCAATCTGAGACATAGAAAACTGCTTGAAAACTTTGAATATTGTGGCATTATAGTTATGTATATGTATTACAGTGCATGATATAAAAAATATTTAGCATATGAAGATCTACATGTAGAGGGCCACTACTCATTAAGCACTGTCCTTCAAGTCCATTGTGTTCAATGGCAGCAGCAGCAGCAGCACTACAGCATATTTGTCAACGAAAGCTGCCTGATGCCCGTGGGAATGATCCTGGATGCACAGCTGCGGAAATGGCGCCGACCGGTGACGGGCCATCAAGTCCAGGCCCAACGTTTGAAAAACGATTGGCTGGGGTGTATGCCCAAACGGAGACAGTGCCCCGAAAGGGCATACACCATGGAACAGCGCCGATGTGAAGACATGTGAAGGCCGCCCGATTTGGGCATCCGCCATCGAGCTCAACGACGCCATTCCCGGCCGCAAAACAGAGCATTTTCTCGCAGAGATTACAGCAGGTATGTACACTAATCTCCCATCCTTTCCTCTTTTCTTCCTTCTTCCTCCTTCCCATGTGTTTGATTTTTCCCCCTAGCCACAGACATAAGCCATAAGCCAGGATTCGGAACAAAAGAGGGTTTTTTTCTTTATTGAGAGAAATAAAGCTATCAATAATGTTTACCATTTTTTGTCACCTAAATATCCATGCAAAAAAGGTCCCAGATTTCTGGGCATATTTGAGGGCAATAAAAAGTGAAACAAGGGCCCAGATCGGATGACAATCCAGGTCTGAAAGACTGAGCGTTTTTGCATATAAAAAAGATTCAAAAAATGCTTTCAGATTTCAACCTAGATTATTTTCCTATCTTTCCCTAGTTTTTCACCTAGTCTTTGCACAAAAAAATGGGTCTAAAAATGGAACCAGATTGTAAAATAAAAAAAGTGACAAAAAAGAAAGCTCATGTCAAAAACAACACCAATTCAGAGGATGCCAGTTGGCCAGTGAAGGCAAGCAAGAAAAGGGCATCTGATGATCCAATCACCATCTTATTGTCCATCTCATCTCCTCATTGTCTTATCTTATCAACCAGGGCCAGAATAAAAGGTTTAAATGGCAAAGAAAAAGGTTTCTTAAACCCAGGATTTGACAGCTCAGATAGTAGTGAAAAAACAGGCTGATGATTTTTAGTCTATATTTATTGACTTCTACTTAAAGTTAAAATTACACAACACTGTAAATTTGGAAAGTTGTATCTAGCACAATAAGAAAATATGTCATCTACTATCACAGTATCAGTGAAATTTTCCATCTGAGATGAGTACATATATGCAGAGAACTGCCAGTGACAATACTGAGCAAAGGGGTCTTGCATTTGCACTGGTAATGGCGTCTGACAACGGATAACAAACTTGGTTTCTTGGCCATGGCCTGAAGCTATAATTTGCTCAATACTTCCAACTTCTTAGCTGTCATGAAGTACTCCAGATTCTTGTGGTTGGTCTAGATTTCGAAAGGCTTTTCTCCCCCATTCTGGAGGTAGTACATAAACGTAGGGCTTAATAGGTTACCATTTACCGTTCCACAGCTCTAGAAGTTGCTCATTGCAGCCAACAAAAGGCCCCTCCTTTGGATAAAGAAAACCTTGACATGTCCTCAGATACACTGGGTCTCTCGTCAGTCGGTTGGTTGTGGGCTTGTGAATAAAGTGGCAGGAAGGGTAAGGGTAAATAGCGTAGACATCGGACACTATCAACAAGCTCACTGAGCATGACTTTATGGCGCTTGGAGCCTAACTGTTTGGCTTGTTGTGAGATCTTGAGTGCAATCTTGATACTTGACAGGAGTTGGTCAGCATGGGTGACGGTAATTGCTATATGATCAAGATCTATTTAGAGAGTGTCAGGAGCACCGTCTAAGGACTGAGACATGGTTATCTTTTTTACAAGCACCATGAATCTACTACAGCATATCCTGCAGTAGTGTTCTGTCTTGCTGTCAAGACCGCACCAATGATGGCTGCGCGGCAGATGCTAGGGCTGTGGTGTCCTGTTTATCTAGCAAGTGTTGCATACTTTCTGGTACTAGTTGCAACAGTACGGATGCAACTCGCTCTGTCACTTTGTCGTCAGAGAGAGGCCAAAAGGCCATTAGAACATTGATGTCGGCCTGAGAAGGAGCAGGTGAGCTGAAGAGTCAGGAGTGTTCTTGCACTGGATTGCTCCACCAGTCCAGCAATATCAATCACAGATTCTTGCACTTGTTCAGGCAGATGAGCCAGTAGCTTATTCCAGTAAGGTGTTTCTCTAGCACACTGTGAAACAGACTGATAGAGAGCTATATATAGCAGTATGGGCCACAAAGCCACTGAGAAATTAGCAATTTAACATTATAAATACAATGGCAAAAGCAGGATAGCATCAATGGGTATATTGTCCGAATATGTTGTAATTGTCAGGTGCTATTACTATATAGAAAACTTATATATTTCTGTGTTCCTGCTAGATTTTTGAATCATATTATAGTTCACACATACTATACATCATCCACATTGAGTCATAATATTGATTTCACTAAATAAAAAGACTTGAGAAGAGAAAAACATCTTAAAGTAAGATGTTATTAATTTTGCATCTTCCAATTTAACCTGACCAGGTCCTCAGAAGCTGCACCCAGCGGTTTTCACTTGTGCAAGTTGGCAGCAGGCCTGTTCCAGGCTCATACCCAGACCTCGTTGTAGAGCTCACAATCCCACTTGTGTAGTTTAAAGCCGAATATGATTTGATTGACCGATAACTCCGAACTGTGACAAATGTGACGGGAAAAGTTGGGGATCGCTCTACAAGAGGGCTGGCGCAGCTAGCCCGGCCCGCGTCAGCCCGGCCATCCGATAAGCGGTGCTCAGCGCAAGCCGCCATGGCTCTCGATGTCACCATCCTCTCCTGCGTCCTCGAGACGCTCCAAAGCGCCCGCACCACCCTCCATGGGTTGACTTTGGGCCCAGCATGGTCACTTGTTGAAGACCCGCTCGCCCAGCTGCCATATTTTGCGAATGGACCACTTGTGCACCGGTTTGGAGGGCTTCCAGGGTGGTGGCAGCGGCGGCGGAGGTGGCGGCGGAGGTGGAGGGGGGTATGGAAGGTTTCGAACACGTCGTTCGCAGGCCGCGGAGATGGGAGGAAGAAAAGAGTGGTGGGCGGAGAGACCGACGACCGTTCGGGGTTACGCGGCTCGGAGCCGGGCCGGGCTAGTTGCGCCAGCCCTCTTGCAGAGCCCTCACCCCCGAAAACTAATAACACTTGTCACATCATTTTGATTTAGCCCAAAAATCATTACATATATAGCTAAAAAATTATGCTCTCGGATCTGGCTGCTCTGCAACGAGGGTTGGGTATGAGCCTGGGCCTGTTCAGCACAGAGGAGGATCCTGTTGGTATATATATTCAAAACGCTTCTTAAATGGTATATATCCATGATATCTGTACATCTGTCATGCACCTCGGCCCAAATACTTAGCAGTGGTAGGCTGTTCAATTTTGTGGGCCTGAAATTTACTCAAAATTCACAATTATTCATAATTCCAGACTTGAATTCTGAGACTAAAGCTAAACAATAAGTGGGGAACAACCACTTTGAGACATTTAAGTGTCTCCAAAACTTCTAGACATTCAAACTTTGGGAAATGTTTAAACTTCAAGTTTTTCAAACTTTTGGAGTTTTCAAGTTGTTGTCAGGGGAACCCCCTCTTCAGCCTCCTTTGGACCGACTGAGCACATCCAAGACGCATCTGACTGGCGCCCCTTTGGATGCTGCAACCCACCCTGACCCTCGTCCTTGGCCTCCTTCACCCGCACAATCACTGATCTGTCAAGACCCTCCCAATGATCACCTTGGGACAGAGCCTGCGATGCCGCTCAGGCCTTCTGCGCTCTACGTCGGCAGTTACGGACAACCAGTATATAGTTGGCACCCTAGCAGGCGGACCCTTATAGTTTGTCTGCTTCAAGTCGGAAAGGCCGGGAGTCGTCCGGGATCGCTAAGACGGGCTCTGAGACGACCGCGTCTTTGATAGCTTGAAAGGCGGCGGCCGGGCGTCTCCCCAGGCCCATTTCTGGTCTTTCTTGGTGAGCGCGAAGAGAGGTTGCGCTAGGGCCGAGAAATCCCGAATGAACCTGCGGTAGAAATTAGCAAACCCCAGGAACTGCTGGAGGTCCTTCTTGTTCTCGGGTGGAGGCCATGCGGAGACTCCGGCGACCTTAACGGGATCCATTTCGACGTGGTTGTGAGAGATGATAACCCCCAGGTACTCGATCGACGATTTCTCGAAGTCGCACTTCTCCTTGCGAAGGTACAGCTTGTGCATTCGGAGTCGCCGAAGGACTTCGCGGACGATCTCGCGGTGCTTACGGAGGTCCAAATGTGCGATAAGGATATCTGTCAGGGGAACCCCCGCTTCGGCCTCCTTCGGACCCTCCGAACGCATCCAAGGCGCATCCGACCGTTCCTCCGCCCGGTGGCTGCACCCGCGCCCCACCCGTGGCCCGCGCCCCCGTCTCGGTACCTCCGGCTCCCATCCCTATGGAGTTGGATCGTACTAGGGCTCAGGGCGCCCCTCGTCGAGCCTGCTTCAGATGTGGCGACCCCAATCACTTGGCTCGGGACTGTCTGCTCCCCGCCGATGTT